AGGGGGCATGTTAGAAAATGTTGATTTGACACCAGTCTTTAGTGTCCTGTTAATATAACTTGTGAACCATAAAAGTGAGTGGCTTTTTTTTAGAGCGTTTAAATGCTTAGTCTTTTTTTTTCTCAGAATGGAAAATAGCCCACCTACTTCCACGCGATTGTCTAATGATGCTACTTTGAACCAGATCCAGGTAAACCGAGGAGCTAAATATTTGTTATTTAGCAAGGAGAATTCTTTTTGGCGTGTAGGAAAAAATCTGCGTGTGTAAGTTAATAACTGCCTTTTTTTAATCAGTTGAAGAATTGTTTTTAATACGTCTCCATATTGAATATCCATAAACTTAGTACACAATGTAGATTGCATTGCTGAGCCCCCATCCTGTATTTTGATGACTTTGGCTGGGCTTTCAATCCTAAGTATTTTAAGTTCAGCACTGGCATAAACTTTATATAATATTACCTTGGGTATTAATCCTTTACAGTCAAGAGAATTAAAAGCAGGAGACTTGCACTGATTCAGCTGTGGAGTCCAGCTGGCAGCCGGAGTCAAGAGACAATGTACCTTAAGCTTGTAGCCTTGAGTATATCTTCTCTGGTATAATGAAAGCCCCACACACAAACTGTACCCCATTGACTGTGACCTCACTAGATCTTCTGTGCCAAGCAAGGTTAAACCTTGAAGTTGGCTCCCAATTAAACTGAGGATCTCTCTTGTTCTTTGTGATACTGATGTGAAACCCCATGGTAGTGTAACTTACTGTGCTGTTAGTAACACTGTCTTTTGAGTGGTACTTTATAAAGACCCTTTAAGCCATAGACACACAATTAAAAACACTTGGAGCCATGACCCATTTGCAAGATTTTATTCCCATGTTTTGAGAATTTTAGTACTTGTATGCTGCTTATGTGACACATCTCTGTAACTTCTTTTGAATCGCTTTTTTCCTTGACTATTCCAAAACTATCTGCAGTGACACCATCTTTTTGAAGAAAAGGGAAACATTGAAACATTGCGGGATGCTCTTTATGGAAGTTTGTTAGAAGTGCTAACATGTTACAGGTTAACAAGAAATATAAGACTAGGAGTTTTGTATATTTTTCATGGTAGTAGGCTTAAGCATACTCTTTTGGGTTTTTTTGTATTAACAGGTTCCAAGAGTGTTTGTCAATGGGTCTTGTATTGGCAGTGCTAATGATACTCAGAGGCTTCACCAGGAAGGGAAGTTACTTCCACTAGTCCATCAATGTCAAATGAGAAGAACAGAAAATTCTGAACAGCCACGTAGTCTACTTTAGCCTTGCTTTCAAAGGTGCCCTGTATCTAGAAGAAAAACATCTATAAAACATCTTTAGGCCCCTAACTAAGAAACCATCAGAACAGCTGAGACTCATCATGATTGAAAATCAGGCCATTGATCTTGGAGCTTAAAGATGGACTTAAATTCCAGTTTTCAGGTGTCTAGACTTGATCATATTGGCCAGCTGTGTACTGGAAGAAACAGGACTTTGAAATGAAGGTTTCCTGAGTTGTGTGCCAAAGAGGATTTACACTTTATGGGCATGGGTAAGTCATCTAACTTTCTTGCTCTAGCTTCACCAAATACCATGGTAAAACCCCCAGTATATGTTAACCAGTGGTTTATTAGTTTTTGTTTTTTTTTAATTCCAGAATTTTGAAGGTGTAAAAGACTATGTAAGCATTAAATACTAAGTAACCTAGAAAATGTTACATCAGGGGTGTCAAACTCATCAGGGCCTAGTGATTGGATCAGTGGCAGAGATTGTTCATGGGTCAGATGGGCCAAGACAGGTACCACATGTAGGCGATGCTGGACTGGCCAGGGTGGGTGCTATATGTAGTAGGGGTCATGGACTGGCTAGGGCAGGTGCCATGCACGGCCCAGTCTCAGATCAGCTGGAGTAGGAGCCATGCGCAATGCAGGGGTTGATCTAGTGTGCAGTATGTGCAGCATGTAGGTCAACTCCAAGACCCAGTGACAGTGCTAGGGGCCAGATGATGAGACTCAGGGGGCTGAATGCAGCCCACAGGCCAGATCTTTGATACCACAGTGCTACACAAAGTTATGTGAAATTGGTAGCAAACATAACCTGTTAAACT